CTGCTGGAGAGCCCAAGTCGAAAACAAGATCAGCTGGTACTGCTGCTGTATGAGCAAAACCAAGCAGAGATGTTCTACAAGCTGTTGACCTACCCTCACCAGCCAATTATATTCTATGAGAAGGTGGTCAAGGTATGACTTGCGTAATGTTTTTATTATTATGGTCATATGGGTGTGGTCATTTTTATGTGACGGTGAGGGCTGATACTCATGCTTTTTAACTGTTTTAAAATATGAAAACATGGGTCTTTGAATGTCAAGGGCAAGCTTTATAAATAGTTCTACATGACATAGATCCTCTTCATCCTACTGAAGACCAAGACTCAGAAAAAGAAGTCCCGGCTGAAGCTGTCGGACATCGGCCATGCTGGTCTCATCAACTTAATGGCCCACTATGAGATATCTGCCCCGATGATCAAGCGTTTTATTGAACAAGTGGCCTTTACGGGTCATTTGTAAAACGTTAGTTATACCGTTGAAGGCAATGTCATGGCCACTGCTGCAAGTTTTGTTAGAATAATACTTAAAGTTTTTATGCTGAAATGGAAAATGATTATATCTTTGAATTGAAAGCCTTCCCTTCTTCATTAAATATGTCGTTTGAATATTTCATCTATTCCAATGCCTGTGCATTTTTTTTACTCAGAAACTTCTCAGACCTATAGTGCAGTGTTATCTATCCTTGGCATTGTTCACGGTTGTGGTCTGGACATAAAATCAGAGGCTAGCAGACAGGTGAGATCATGTGTGACACATGTAGTAGACTAGACATATATTCATATGGCAAAAAAGTAACTGAAACACAATAAGCAGTAGAGGCACCTTTTAAAAAGTAGGGGCACCTCTGTCAACTGTACAGCCACCTCTGTTATAAACAGAGGCACCTCTATCAACAGTGGGAGTACCTCTATAAAGAGTAATGACACCTCTAGAAAACCGTAGTGACACCTCTATCAACAATGGGGGTACCTCTAGATATAGAAGTGGCACCTCTATAAACACTAGAGCTGCCTATATAGACTGTGATGCTCATCTATAAACACTAGAGCTGCCTATATAGACTGTGATGCACCTCTATAAACACTAGAGCCGCCTATATAGACTGTGATGCACCTCTATAAACTGATCTGTATAAACTGTAATGCACCTATATAAACTGTGATCTGTATAAACTGTGATGCACCTATATAAACTGTGATCTATATAAACTGTGATGCACCTATATAAACTGTGATGCACCTGTATAAATTGTGATGCACCCCTATATAAACTGTGATGCACCTATATAAACTGTGATCTGTATAAACTGTGAGGCACCTATATAAACTGTGATCTATATAGACCGTGATGCACCTCTATAAACTGATCTGTATAAACTGTGATGCACCTATATAAACTGTGATCTGTATAAACTGTGATGCACCTATATAAACTGTGATCTATATAAACTGTGATGCACCTATATAAACTGTGATGCACATATATAAACTGTGATGCACCCCTATATAAACTGTGATGCACCCCTATATAAACTATTACGCACCCATAT